GGAAGGGATTTAATAACAAAGTCACTGTTTTTATCATCAAAGTCTTTAGTTCTGGAAATATTCTAAATAAGAAAAGTTGGGTAAAGTTCAGGAACTAAGAGAACCTGTAAGTCTGAAGAAAATTAATAGATACTTTAGTGTGAAAAAAAGAGTACAACAAATGCCAAAAAAGGAGTACAAATACTAATTAATACTAAACTTGTGGGTGGTTAATCTTTTAAAATAAAGTTGAACGGAAAGCTTAACCATGTCTCTTTTAATAAGAGTGGTGTATAACTTCATGGTTAAAACTTCATTTTCACAATTTAGTTATGGGGACTAGAAACATCTCACATAAGAATGCTTTTATTTAAAGATAAAAAAACATTGATACTAAAGAAGAATGTATGTCACATAGATATATTTGAATGTATTTCTTATTCAAGTCCTATGATTGTGGAAAGTTTAGTAAATCTTTTTATTAAACATTTAAGATGTTTAAAAATTCTTTGACACTTGGAAGATCCATATGAATTCATCCTTTCATTTTGTTTGGTGAAATGCAGGGAGAGAAACAGGCTATAACTAAAGATATGTGGATGTTATGGATTAGTTTCTGTGCAAACTCCCCTGTTGTTTTTGCTCCAGGTAAACTTTTTTTTTAACAACTTATCCTTCTCATTAAGAAGGCTGCACATAATTATACAGAATAATCTATAAAAGTAACATAAAGCATTGCACAATAATAAACCTAAGATAAAGCAATTTTTATAAATTTGTTTAAATTCACCAGAGTTGATCTGATGACATCCATAAACATTGCCAATGGCCATGCTTAAATCCACACACATGTGAGTTGTAATGTCCACCTTGCTCCTCTTTGTAGATTTGTCCTGAACAAGGATATGCAAATCCTGATTTGAACTCCCACAAGTCCAGGTAGACTGGCACAATATAGTAAATGTCATGCCATCGTCATAAGAGTTTATGTGATATAAGTTACTAACAATGTTTAGGCTATAAGTACAAAGTTTACACTCAGAGAAAGTTGATTGAAAATATGTACATACATATGCGTAGAACACATGTAAAACAATTGGGTTGTAATGCCATGGGCCAATCACAGTGGATAAAAATATAAATGTTACCAATTATTTAGCAAATAGATAGAAAGGATTATAGTGGATAGTAAAAGTCAAGGTCAGTGATGATCAGCCCCCATAAGTCCCCTTTAACTGTACTTCTCAAAAAACATTTAAAACTAATCAATTTTAATGGGCAATTATGCACACTTTCAAAGCATGCATAATTCTTAATTTGTAGTAAGTTTTAAAATCCTGACTTGATGAAGATTAGCAAAACCCAATGAGAATCCCAAAAATCTCTCCCAGTACATACATTTTTCCCTTTGTTTCTGTGTGCTCTTGTTATTGTCTTTATCCTCAGGGTCATAGTAAATATACTGATGATCATTTGAATGTGTCCTTTAGGAAGTGAGAAATCTATTGATCATCAGAAGAATTCCTTCATAGTTAAAAATTTTGTTGCAAGAACAACAAAATTCAACTAATGCAACATGTGTTGCATTAGTCATGATTATACTTATATAAGAAGTGAACTACTCTGAGATTTAAACACTCAACAATTTACACACTTTTCTTACAAAATTGAAAATTTCTTCTGAACACTATAATTAAGTGGGATACAAAACATTGTGAGTTACCTATGTTTTGTTTCTCTTCCTGCCTTCAAAAACCTTTCAAGTTTATTTTACAAGTAGTATAAAATTCCCAGATGATTTGCAAGTCTTATGACTGATAATTATTTATCAACCTACAACCTCTGATCAGGAAATTTTCTTCTAAAACTCAAACTATTTAGATCAAGAGCATACCATGGCTAACCTTCTATAAAAGAAAGAAAGAAAGATAATTTGTCTTAATGTGGTTTTCATATGAGAGAAAAATACTTTCCATTGACCCAATAGCATCTTAATATAAGAAGGGTGTGGTTCGCATCTTTATTTTTATATTCATTGAAGGGGAAACTGAAATGCTGAGACTTGCCCAAAATTACCCTGCTAGATTGTCACAGAACTTATGCAGAAATGAAACAGAGCTTAGAAACTTATCCTAGGATTTTTAAAGAAAAACCAAAAAGCATCAACATTTTTTTTCCTCCCATCTTCCAACAAGACCACAAGAGAAATATCACATCTAATAAAGATATTAAAACAGAACAGTCACATTACAAAATATTCATATTTTAGAGTTATCCATGTGTGATAAATACATTCTAGACAAATTTTCTTATTACCTACATGAAATTTTGGAAAAAGAGACTCAGAGAAAATAGTTTAAAAGACAGATATTATATAAGATATAAGAATTCATCAGAACTAGAACAAATAATTTCACAAGTATCAGCCACTGCACACTTCAAAAGTCACTTTTCTGAAGATTAATTTTAAAAATAGGATTTCCAGAAGAATTTGGTTATTTAAAAAAGAAGATCAAATGGACCAGGACTCACAAGTAAATAAAATCTCCTTAACTTTAAGAGAAAATGTGTTTTGCATTTGGGCTCCACCTAGGTTAATTTTCAAAATGAGTTTAGTTAGTTGCTATGATTAATATTGCTATTAAAGTATTTTGGAGTAGATACTTATCCTAGGAGCAACTTGAAATCCTAAATTCTTAAATTCTCTATCCTCTGATGTATACAAATTTGTGGGTGTTTTTTTCTTAAAATTGAGGACATCTGTACTCCTACACCCAGTGTGGGATGGAACCACGTCATAATGATTCTTTTTTCCATTTTAACAATGAAGTATGAGTCTGTATTCAACCACTGTGCCTGCACCATTTTAAGTACCATTCATGTCAATGTGGGACACTGGGAGCTTTGGTGCTGTTGTCTACCTTTTGTGATTTGATTTGTCTTTTATTGTAAGCGTTTTCATCCACTAGACCACATCTGGTGCAGCATTACCCTGATACACACTGATAAAACTTGCCGTTATAACACACAGCTCACATTTCCATTTTTATTTGACTTTTGTGATTATGTTACAACCACCTGTCCAGGCTAAGCATCTGGAAAAGTATTGAAGATGTATATGTTGCTTTGAAAAAATTTTTGGATTTTTAAATGAATATCCATTTACTCCTATTAGTACATTGTTCAGAAGTAAAATAGCAAAAAAATTTATTTGGATGCACCAACAGCATCTACACAGTGTGGGAATAAAACATGCAGTCAGTCATCTGGTCCCCAAAAGATTTTCCACTGTCTGTGTGCTAGTTGAGGCAACACAGAGAATGATTTCATCATTATTGCATGTATTAAAGTAAGCATCACCTTCATTCAAATTTGAGTAAACTCTACTGTAAGAATTGTAAAATCTGGGAGCATAAAAGACTACTCTATATACAGTGTTTGCTGAAAACAGCAGAGTGCATTCAGCACCATATCATGTCATGCACACAGAGAACAGAGGTGTCTGGAAAGGAACACTGTGATAACTGCACCATAAATAAACAGTCAATAACTTTCCTCTCTATTGAAAGCCTGGAATACCTCAAAACCAGTATGTTTCTTTCCCACATATATGAACATGTATTTAGATACAGACCCCATCACTGCTAATATTGAAAGTCAATTAGAAAAATCTCTGAGTCAATGTCAGAACATAGAAAATATTTATACCCCCCCAAATATGCAAAGTCCTGGATTGCAATTTGAACCAGCCTGCTGTTTCACGGCATTCTTTTATAGCTTTATACCCACTGTTACTTTTGAAGCACATGCCTAAACTAACATCTCCTGTACTCACATTATTTTTACCACTCATTCACCTTTAAAAGACTTAGCCAAACTTGACTTTAAAAAGGTACTATTCTCACCATAAAAGCAATAAAATCTCAGTTTTAAGGCTGATTCCATAATTACTTCATATACAATAATTACTTCATTTTTGTGCCTATGGTAAGTAGGTAGCAGAGCATGGAGACATGCTCCCCAGAAAATTTCCATTATGTGTAATGGAAGTTTTGTGCCCCCCAAGATGAAAATAGAACCTATGGTACATAGTCCTAAGACTTCTAGAATAAAGAGGAGCATCTTGGAGGAATGTGAAGAAGTTCAAATATAAATTCTAAAATAGCAACCTTTTGTTTTATAGATTTCTGTTTTGTACTTCTCTAGCCTGACTATGATGACTTGTGTTTCCATTCTGGTGGATTTGGTTGTGGACACTGGGGGATAGTAGAAAAGCTCAAACAGTGTGTATTAAAGACCAAAATATTTCCTTTCATCTTTCCATCATCTTTTGTATGCTAATGTATATTTACAGGTAGTCTAATAATATACAAATTATTGGTATATATTTTAAACTTGATGCAAACACTAACCCTTCCCTCCCAACATTAAATGTCATGCATGCACCAATTGAAAAGGATGCCTCTCTGAAGGACTTCAAAAAATATACTTTAGTGGAAAGAAATGAATTCCCCAGGTTCTTACAAATGAATGTGTATTTTGTTCTCAATGCATATCATTGAAGGGACTTGCTATAGACAACACAACTCTTTGTGACTTCTTTTCTTAGTGATAATAGGCACTTTCTAAGAAGAAAATTTGTGACCCAAAAGACTATGAAATTCAGTCTTTACCCCCTTTTGTAAGTGGATCTTCCTGAGCCCAGTAGTCTATTGTATCAACTCAGCAGAAGTCCTGCAGGGGAACTGTGTGCAAAAGAGCTTTGAAAATTGTAACCAGAATAAAATCATAGAAAAGCAAGTTCTCTGAACAGAGCAACTTAACACTCATTCTTGGTTGGTTGGTTTGTTAGTTACCACATTTCATGTATTTCAACAAACAATAAGAATCATGTGTCAGCAATTTTATACCAGTATTTCATTTTTTCTTCTAAGTTGCAGATATGCTACAAAACATGTCTGTTTACATTCTTTTAAAAATTGTATTGTTAATAGTTAAAATTTTTATATGATTACTTAATCTTTTGTATGTTTCTTTGCTAAGAGTCTTTCAACTTCATCCCTGAACAAGTTTTGGAAATACAAATGTAGAACATTCATGACCTTTGGAAAACTGGCATTTCTAACATGAATTGTTAAAAGGCCCTTATACCCTGTGGTGCAGTATTTCTATTGTAATATACACTATATGGAGAGTTGAGTATTTATGGTGTTGATAATTCAGCTTACAAGATGACAGCCATTCTCCAAGATGAAGTAGGGATTTCCTTACTTAAGAGCTAATAATCACTATTTAAGTATAATGCTAAAAAAGGAGAGGCATAGTTGAGAGGAAATGCAATTCATGCACAAAACCCATAGCAATAAGTTCTCAGTATCCCACACTGCTATCTGATGTAGGCAACAAAACAGTTATTTAGATGGTGCAAACATTGCCTGTAGGGAAAAATAACCTAACACTAAGTTACAGAAAAAATATCCTATGGAAAGAGATCATAAAATGGTCCTAACAGTTTAAAAAGTTAAACTCTTCCTTGGCATTAATCTATAGTTTTAACTTAACAGAATAGTGAAGAAATGACAGCTTGATACTCAATATACTCAGCCTGAGATCAAATTTGTCATGGCAACATTGGCAGGTTGGACCCTGATTCTTCAAATATTACATTGCCTTAGTTAACAAAAATCATACTTTTTATTATAGAATAGAGATTATAAATAAGTGTAAAGTGTGCATGCAGTCAACTGCATAATATACAAGCAATATCTAGGTTTTTAATAATCATCTTCTTTGGCAGGCCAGAATCCAGCTGGACATGCAATATGTACATATCAAAATCCATATTGTGTTCATCATATTGAAAGCAAGTGAAAATATATATATTATGTATATACTATATATATACACATATGTATATAGATGTATATACTGTTTTAATATATTAACAAATATATATGTTTATATATATGTATATTAAAAGTGGATTTCATCTTTGTCAGATTCAGGTGACTCTGGTCGTGAAACACTAAAAATATCCTGACATGGTATTTGGGGAGGTACTTGGAGTGGCTTTTGAGATTTGGGAGAAGAGGTCTGGGGTACATTTTTTTCTGACAGTATTTTTAAAATTTCTGCCACCTGCTTTTCTAGGGCAGTCATTCTGCAGCTCAGCAGCTGGATGTCCTCCTTGAGTTCATGTTTGACTTCCTGCAGTGTGGTTTGTAAGGCCTGTTCTGGGATGGGATAAAAGGGGTGCTTAGCATCAGCCTGAATGGGACTGTGCTCTAGCGGACTTCGGGCCTCACCAGCCTTATCCAAACGAAGGTCACTTTTTGTAATCCCACTGTCACATGAATCTGTTTTCCTTAATGGGTTCTTGGTCATGCTGTTCTCTGAGTCACTGCCCTTGGGGTCCTCTGACAATAGCCCCATTGACTCAGCTTTGGTGACATTGTTCCAGTCTTCCTTTTTCTCCTCATGGGCTCCCATATTGTTCTTTAGTCTCAGCCACCCTTTGCCATTCCCATTTTTCATTCTTATTGGGCTGTTGACTTTGAGACATTTTGGGTCAGCACCACCATTGGGCTTGAGTTCCATGGCATCACGGTTGTTCTGCTTCAGGGATTCACTGGCTTTCACGTAGGCCAGAGATGTCTGAATGGGAGTAATCTGTGACACAGTCACCACACTGGTGCCAGTGATGGAGGCTCCATTCTGCAAGGAACGGCTTTCTACCTGCAGTTGATTCCTCTCAGGGTCACTCTGTGTTGAGCCCTGATTCCGCAGCTCCTTTTGCTGTTTGAACTTCTGGAAGAGTTTTCTGACTGGGTGATCCACAGGGATGCTGAGAGTTACCTCATTCTTCTGCCTAAGGCGCTCCTCCTCCTCCTTCTTCACATCACTGATTTTACGGAAGATGATCTAAAGAATGGGAGAGATAGTTAAACGATGATTACAAAGAAGATGGCTTTGTAATTGTCTAATACTTTACTGGAAATGCTTTGTTTTTCAAAGGAAACTCTGGAACACACCCATTTGAGCCTTTCAGAAGGGAAGTAATACTGAAATGCCATTTAACAATGCAATATGTATATAACCCAATCATAGGAACATTGACTACTTGCTCAGTTCTATTTCCTTACACATCAGAGGGGGAATGTGGTTGAGACAGCTGGAGGGAGATACTTTGCTTCTACTTCATGTTCTCACTATGTTCCCAATTTGGTAAGTATGGGATTTTTGCTTAGATTCCTGAAAACAAAGTAACTGCAGGTAAAAGCTGCAAGAGAAATTCAAAATGAAGTTACATTAGATAAGACACTTTCAGAATCAATTTTATGATACAAGCAGAATTACTTACCTCTCCAAATTGTTGGTTATAGTAATACATGTGAAGCTCAGTCCCTGCCTGTAATAGACACTCAAAATTGTTGTTCCTCTTCCCTTAAACTCTCACAAATACCTCCCACTTGAAATCACTTTTATCACCTTTTGAAGGTTCATCATCTCCCAGGGGTGACATATAGTTACTGATTTTACAACAGAAACTAGTAGTAAGGATGGTCATGGTTAGCAGGAAAGACAAGGAGGCAGCAGTCCTTCTTCCAGGTCAGATCACATGTCCTACACTAAGACTAATGTACTAAATTCAGCTTATCAGGTGGAAATAACTTGTATTTTAAAATAAATAGTCTCTAAATTCTATAACTGTCTGTAAGGGCCAACATATGTTTTCCTCTCTAGCAGCATGTGAAATTGGGTCTTTTTAACAGATGCAATACTAATCTCAAAGCCTGACATCTAAGCTTCAGTAGTTTAATTAGAAATCTTTCAAAGGGTGACATACTTCATCTTTCCTAAGTAAACAGAGACTAAGCCTTCGAGATATTAACACTCTTCAGTACCTAACAGACCAAACATGGAAACACAGACACTATTTTCCTATTTCTTTCCTTTCATTGTAAGGACAGTCACTTTAGTTCTATGAACTGACGTCAGAGGCCTAATGTGAATGTGTAAATGACTGTGTCTCCCTTCCAACTCACCTCAGAGCATTTCTGTTACTCACCACCCCCCACCCCCCACACAATTGCTTAGCCTGGGATAGACAGTCTGGGTGTAATGTGGTAATTGAGAGCAGCCTTGATATTTGGAAAGAAGAATGTATTTCAACTCATCTGTAGAGAAGAGCAGTGCTTGACACATAGGAAAGTCAGATAAAATGCAGGACACCCATGCAATAATTGGGCCATGCTATAAAAACATATATTATTTATCTGAATAGGACATACTTATCAAGAAGTATTTGTTTGTCTGAAATTTAACTTCAAATGAGACTTTTGATGTTTTGTTGACTACATTTGGCAACCCTTCAGGTATGTAATAGATAATATTATCACCCCAGTAAGGTCTCCATGCATTGCCATGTGAAATTCATAGCTCATGGAAACTACAATGAAAGATTTGGTATTCCTAATGACTGAGAATGTACAGGTATCTGAATTCAGAGCCTTATTTTTTAGATTTTTGATATAATGGCTACCAATTGCTTGCAATTATTGTGTGCTTGCCAGTTTCAGGGTATTTAGTGATTTAAGGTTGTAATTTGCTCATGGAAAATAGCAAGAAAAAGTATCTTCCAGTTTCCTAGATCAACAGCTGCCTACCCTTGTCCCCCAACCAAGAACAAACAGGATGTTTGGATTGCTAATATTAAGCTGAGAACAAAGACTCTAAATACCAAAACACCTTGCACAAAGGGAGCCCTGGCACAAAGCCAGAGCCCCAGTCTGCATCAGAGGACAAATAAGTCAGAATTGGATTAGGGTATTTTGTCACCAAGAAAAATAAAAGGAACTTGGAAAGGAACTTGTTTGGGACAGTAGGTGACAGAATCCTAGGTGCTGCACACTGTTCCTTTTCCTTGTCTCTCCACTGCAGGGGATAGGGAATGAGGTGGTATTTGACACTGCTCCCTTGATGTTTTGAGTAAGTTATGAGCATCCAGTTGGGTCCTGACTTCTCATCTGCAGTGTACAGAGCAGTGGGACCTACACATTCACTTTCTGGAGCCAGTGATGCATGGTGGAAAAATAATGTGCTCTTTAGATGCCAAAAGTCCCCCCTACACACCTTGGTCCTTGCCCCTTATGTCCTGTGTAACCTGGATGGGCACTGGCTAGGAAGTCCATGGGCTGGGAAAGTAGCCATTTGTGTATTTCAGCCACAGAGAAGCCAAATAAGGCAAAGGTAATGTGTGAAGGGGGAAAGTTATTGCACCCCAATGGATGACTTTCAGATGCATTGAACATGTTCCATATCAGTAGAGCCAGCAACTGAGCATGGCCAGCTCAACAGACCAATGCTCTGAGGAGTGACCATAAGCCTTTCAGACCAAACACAAGCCCTAGGCACTAAATTGCACTGTTCCACCTCCCTTCTTTTAGCACCCACAGACAGTCTTGAATTTAGTGAAAGCAGGATAGGGAAAAGGAGGAGATTTCTTATTCATGTTACAATGTGAACTGGAATCTAACGGGTAACAATAACTACTTACCATATCCAGGTTTTTAAACCAGAGGCAATTTTTTTAAAATGCTAGATTGGATGGAATTTATAAAATTAGGTTAATTTTGTTATTTTTACTATGAAACAGAAATGATGACTTATTGAAAAAGCTATAAACAATTTGCACATAGCAAAGTGGTGGGTAGCACACATGTATTTCATTTAACTGTCATCACTACTATATGAGATAGATATTAGTATCATGTTACAGAGGAGCAAATGGAGGCCCAAAGAGATTTAGTGCTTTGTGTTAGGTCACATATCTCATAAGTGGCAAGGATGCAGATCCAAGGAGTTGGACTCTGAGCAATCTTAACCATTACAGTGCTGCTCCTTATGGTAATTTCAATACTTTTGGATGCTAAAAACATGATAGTTGAGTGCGAGGATGCAGCAGCTTCACACTTAGGAGGTAACTCTTCACAAAACACTATCCATGGAGAACCATCCAAGAAAGCAGTGAACTGGACCAGATTGAGGCTCTGTGTTTGCTGGGTAAATAATACCCCTGACTAACAGCTTAAGGGAGATCTGAGAGACACTCTGTAGACTCCCATCACTTTCAAAGGGAAAGGCAAGTAGGCTTGCTTCACTCTACTTTCCTCAGAAATACATGTCACCATTTTGTACTTTCTGGTTCTTTCCACCTTTTTTAAAGAAGGGGGTCGAGAGGGGTGAAGAATGTGATTATTCCTGAACTCTGACAACATCCTCCATCCTAGTCATACCTAGATTCATTTTTTTTGTGTGAGAATAGAGATTCTTGTCTGTTTTGTATATTGTCCTATCTCAAGTTTTATAGTCATGTCTCCCACACTTCAGGTCCTTAAAACACAAAAAGCATCTGGAATTCAGTAACTTTGTATACTCAACAAATGCAAAGATGTGATGATTGTATGAATGGAAAATATTACAAATAATGAGTGCTCTCTCATTCCTATCATCTGTCCATGGTTGAGCACAAATAGATATTTCACAAATGAATGCTAAGTAGAATGAGGCTCAAATTTTTACCTGCAAATAAGTTTTTTAAAGGTCTTCAATCAGAACATTTCTTCAATTTCGTTGGAAGGATGCAAAAACATTCATTAGAAACTTTATTTTTGGCTTATGGAAATACCAATCTTTAAAATGCAAGGTAAGAGAATATAGGCACTGAGATAAAAAAATTTCCCCATAATGAAGAGGTGATTTTCATCATATATACTAAATTTGAAGACTAATCTACTGTGGTGCCAACCACCAGTTGATCCAAGTCTTATAGGCAAAGAATAATATTTTTGGTTTTATCTTAAGTTAGAAAGAGTGCATTACTTAACAAACAAGCAAAAAAATAAATAAGTAAAATATAAGGGATGCCTAACAAAAGTGACTCAATGCATTTTAAAAATACTGCATGCAATGTACCCTCCCTATAAGATAACTATGAACCTATACTCCAATTCTGAATAACACTGATTTTTATTACTAAGGAGACTACATTTCCATGGTAACCATTCTACATTACCATTACAGAATTTTCAAACTAATTCTGCTGAATGCTTACTTTTAAAAAGTGCTTTTTGTCTTTAACTTTTTATCATGACTAATAAAAATAGTTTCACCTAATAACACAATGGAAAGATTGATAAACTTTATTTAATCAAACCCTTTTAAAATAGCATGTCTTATTTTGATTAAAAAATTCTGTATGCTGCTTTTTGATCTCTGAAAGAGCTTATAAATAATAAGATTCTTTATAATACATTTGAATCTTTCATGAGCAATGTATCATCCAGAGGTAAAAAGTTCCCTGCTAATTCAAAACATAAACCATGCAGACTAATTTTACACAATTATTACATGGAAATGGTGATGATTTTTCTCTAGAAAGTAAATGCTATAAAAAGACCCACAGGAAATAATTTTTTTAAATGTTAAAGGATTTCAGATCATAAGTTTCCAAGTTGTATGTAAAAGAAAAAATGTAAATCTATGATTATCAACATAGTACTAGAAGAAATCAGCTTTTAAAAGCTAATATTTGGTTTCTTCCTCAGTACTAATAACCTACCCCTTCGTACTCTGTGTCTATCTTTTGTCCAATGGCAAATCAAATTGCTGTTGAACACCATAAAAATTAAGACACAATTTAAAAAGCAAAACCAGGAATCAGGTTGTGGTTCCAGCTACACATTTATTGGTAGCATGCATAACAGCCTGTACTGTTTCTATCAGCAAAGAGGTTTATTTCATTTAAGCTTTTCTTCTCTGTGCTTCATTATGTTCTACAGAACCCATGCTGGAAGGTTTAATTTATTTAAATGATAAAAGCTTCTTAAACTTAACAGGGAACATGGCCAACTGAGCTTTCC